AGGTCAGGTCAAGGTCATTTTATTATTTCTTGACAATAAGAAAATACTACTATTTGATATCCTGCTGTGTAGAAAAATGTCACCACATTTTCTTTAAGATAATACTACAAAAAAGAGATATATAGATATTGGTAAAAATGAAGATATTGGTAAAAATGAATTTCACTTCTTTACTTTAATTTGCCCGCTTGGTGCAGTAGTTAGAGCGTCTGCTCTAAGAGAGTCGCGAAGTAAGGAGTTGATCCTTACGTTGGAGATTTGAATCCCACTGCGGGACGTGGAAATTGGTCCTTCGAATAAGGAACAGAGGTCCTATGTTGCAGTAGGTGCTGGCATGAATAAGCAAAACATGATATGGCCCCCAGTGCAAGTATAGAAAATTTGCAGCTCTCCACCGGCAAGTGGTGGTGTCTCAAAATGAGTAACAAATTCTCAAGAGGGACGTTAAACAACATACAATCAATCTTTCCTTTAGATTTAAAGGAATACAAGTTTCTTGTATTTTTCTATGCATTAAGGTTTCACTGTTTTGTCAAAAATATAGTCCCACCTTGATGTTTTTTTAAACGCTGTTTTCCATTTTAAATTGTACATTTGTGGGAAGGAAAGAAAACCAGAAGTCTCTGTCAAGACTGAAGCTCTACTGGTTTGTACTTATAATAAAGAAAGAGAAAAGTAACAGTAAGGATATAAAACTTTACAAAAGCAATAAATAGAATAATGACAAAAACCGATACACAGAATTATGTACATTAGTGTAGTCTACTTGTGTGCCAAGTTATATTGAAATCAGACCAAAACTGTAGGAGGAGTAGCATTTTGAATGATTTTCACAAAAATTTCTATTTTTAGTAACAACGACAACACCATTCATCGAAATCAAAAATCGACATATAGAATTATGTATTTTAGTGTAGTCTACTTGTGTGCCAAGTTATAAAAATCAGTTTACCACTGTCAATAAAACAAAGATTCATATCCTCCCAGCTATTTCTGTAACTTGATTTGTAGAACAGCCTAGTTATTTCCACTTACCTGCCAGGATGTCAGATTAGAGAAAAAGAAATAAAGAGCAAGGCCCCACACAATGACAGCTCCAGCAATAATAAGGCCAGCAAGGAGGTGAATTTTCTCACCATACCGCAACTACAGATAAAAAAAATCAATATTAAAGTTATAGATTTGCAGATAAATCAGCTTATTTGATGAACTGTATTCTATACACCCTGGGGACCCAAACTGCTCAACTGAAAAAATAATTTAAGCCTTTTTTTTTTTGAAAAAATAAGAAATAGATGTAAAATATCAAAAGTAGGTCACTGTGACCTACTTTTTAGTTGACATACATGTGCTTTGAGAATCCAGGATGCAAATACTGACTAAAGAGCCATAGCTGCCTTACTAATGACAAGGCCAACTTGAGTATATTTAAAAAACAGCATTTTAACAAGAGGCCCATGGGCCACATTGCTCACCTGAGCACTTTGGTCGGCCATTGTGGCCCCGCCCTACCCCCGGGGGTCATGATTTGAACAAACTTGAATCTACACTACCTGAGCATGCTTCCATATAAATATGATCAATCATGGCTTGGCTGTTCTTGAGAAGAAGATTTTTAAAGAATTTGCCTATATATTTCAATGTGAAACTTTGGTCGGCCATTACGGCCCCGCCCTACCCCCAGGGGTCATGATTTGAACAAACTTGAATCTACACTACCTGAGCATGCTTCCATATAAATATGACCAATCATGGCTTGGCTGTTCTTGAGAAGAAGATTTTTAAAGAATTTTCTTATATATTCCTTTGTAAAACTTTGGTCGGCCATTCGGCCCGAAATTAAACCCGAGGGTCATGATTTGAACAAATTTGAATCTACACTACCTGAGGATGCTTCCACATAAATATGATCAATCATGGCTTGGCTATTCTTGAGAAGAAGGTTTTTAAAGAATTTTCCTATATATTTCAATGTAAAACTTTGGTCGGCCATTGTGGCCCCGCCCTACCCCCAGGGGTCATGATTTGAACAAGCTTGAATCTACACTACCTGAGGATGCTTCCATATGAATATGATCAATCATGGCTAGACTGTTCTTGAGAAGAAGATTTTTAAAGAATTTTCCTATATATTTCAATGTAAAACTTTGATCATCTATTGTGACGGCATCCTATCCCCAGGGGTCATGATTTGAACAAACTTGAATCTACACTAGACAGGATGCTTCCATATGAATATGATCAATCATGGCTAGACTGTTCTTGAGAAGAAGATTTTTAAAGAATTTGCCTATATATTTCAATGTAAAACTTTTGTCGGCCATTGTGGCCCCGCCCTACCCCCAGGGGTCATGATTTGAACAAACTTGAATCTACACTACCTGGGGATGCTTCCATATAAAAATGATCAATTATGGCTTTGTTATTCTTGAGAAGAAGATTTTTAAAGAATTTTCCTATATACATGTATTTACTTATGTAAAACTTTGGTTACCATTGTGGCCCCGCCCTACCCCCGGGGGGTCATGATTTGAACAAACTTGAATCTACACTACCTGAGGATGTTTCCCCATAAGTTTCATCTTTCCTGGCACAGTGGTTCTTGAGAAGAAGATTTTTAAAACATAACTAAATTTTCATTAATTCCCAATTATCTCCCCTTGAATGAGGGCGTGGCCCTTCATTTTACGTGACATTAAAATGAATCCCCTTCACCCAAGGATGCTTTTTGGCAAGTTTAGTTGAAATTGGCCCAGGGGTTCTTGAGAAGAAGTCGAAAATGTGAAAAGTTTACAGACAGACGGACAGACAGACAGACGGACGCCGGACAAAATGTGATCAGAAAAGCTCACTTGAGCCTTCAGCTCAGGTGAGCTAAAAAGCTTTCAGCTTTCAGGTGAGCTAAAAAGCTCAAAATGTGCGTAAGTGTGTAGCTGATTAAAGACCCAGGATGACAACAAATAGTGATACATGTAGGTCCCCTGAGGGACTTACACGACCTACTAACAGACATACCTTCATTATAATGTAGAATGTACAATAAATCATAAGATTCCCAATGAAGATTCCCAACAGATAGGTGGCAAAGTCTGGAGAATGGTACACAGCTCCATAAACTGCACTGCAAAGTGGATTAAAATATTAAGTTTACAATGACAAGTCTAAAAGGACTGTGATTTCCGAATATAATGCATATTTAAAGCTGAAATTTCCTACACATTTTACTTGCTCTATATTAAATCTATGATTATTGAATGAAGGAAAAGATTTTTTTATGTTTCATGATGTGATCAAATAGTTTGATCACATGTTAATTTTTATTAAATCTCTTTGGCATTTATGCATAAAATTATCATAAACATTTGCTTGCCTCTAATTATGAGACAAAAAAAATTATTCCTTAAAGCTACATTTTTCTAAATTTTTATTCAACAAACAATTAACCATTTCTTAATTAAGGTTTTATCTTGGATAATTAATCATGTAGATATTTATTAGATACAGTAAAATGTTTATAATCCAGACACCACCATATCCAAACGAAAGTACAAATTAGACATAATGTCTGGAGGATAATTTTTCATCAATCAAATTATTTTATCCTGAAAGTTGTTTTAAAAGATTCTTTGAAATGTACATAGATTAGATTTTTTTTCTGTATTAAGGAGGCCGACTATAGTTTTATTGTGTGAAAACTACAATAGCGAAACTCTTCATTTTTATACCATATATTATTTACATCAACTTCAGTGTACATGCAAAGTTTGGGGGATATCTACCGTCCAGGTATTTTTGAGGGACCGTCTCAAAATACAGGTACATTTACTATAGGATTATATAGGAAAATGCCAATTTTTAGCACTTTAAAGCAAATTATACAAATACTACAATAGAAATTTTGTTCAAACTATAATATTTGATGAGTAATACTATATTATACAATACATGTAAGAAAGACAAAATTCTACCGTCTTGTTACTCAAAATGCAAAAAAAAAGAGCAAATTTTACTACTTTTATAGAGTATTACAAAATATGACGTACGCAATGGATTCACATGGAAACATAATAAAAATATTGGAGATACTCTCAAATTTCTATGTTTTAAATTTCAAGAGCGTATGTTTATTACTTTTTCTTTGATAATATTTTTATTACCCCTTTCCTTAAGAGCTACAGATTATCATAACGTCAAAAACACACTGCAACGACGTCAACCTACCTATCAATTGCAAAATCGGTTAAAAAATTAGTTATATCAAATTGTAATTACATTTTTATACCTATAATTACTTAATTTTGTTTAATTTTAATAATTAAGCGAAAAAAATTGCACTAAAACAGTAAAGACGCTTCATTTTACTATGATGCGCAAAATATTGCGCAATGGAAACTATAGTCGGCCCCCTTAATTGGCATTGTTTCAGCTCATCCTGGGTACGATCTTGTCCAAGGCTAATTCAAATTTGTTTTATAATGACTTCAATTTTCCATTAATTTGTCAAAACAACTCGCAGAGTAACCCAACAAAATAAGATGTGGGTTGGCAACTACGTGTATAATGCATTTTTTTCATGTGACAAAAATATTACCAATGTGAGAGAACTGAACTACAGTTCCATGGTTTGGGATTCCTGGAAGACCATCTCTGCATGCCACTCTTTTAGTTTATTTTAGACTGTGGTATCCAATGTAGTCCAACAACAGCCTCGATCTTTAATATGTAACTAGCTCCATCTTTGAAATGCAGAGGTAGAGCCAAGTTCAACGTTAACTTAGAGAGACTTCAGCTGATTCAGATGATCTTAGATCAATCCAAAAAAGCTGTCTTCTACACCATCAGCAGCCATTATAACTGAAAGTATACTCAACAAAAACCCTGGAAGGCAAAAACACTGTTAAAGACCAGAACACAATGTTCCAGTTGGAGACTTGTACAGCAGAAAAATCTTGAGGATCTCATGTGTTCTACAGAAGACACTGAAGATTTACTACCACTGTCAACCTCATGTAATAATGATGTCTTGTACAAAACACCTTGATATCAGTTTTCTATTATCAGAACAGCTGATATCTTGTTACCTACATACCTACTCTGACCACTGCCCACCTGTATCAGCTGACCATACTTACTACTGCTGATACAGGTACATAACACTGACATACGTCAATACCTTAGGGTCAAGTTTCTTGTTTTCTTCGTTCTCTTCATCCATCTCAAAGTACATCTCTGTTTTAGTGATGGACATGGTTCCATTAATGGCTGCTCCCGGGGCTATCAGCTTACAGGATGTAGACATAGCAACAGGGCCTGTCCAAATTGAAAATAAATATAATCACATGGTGAAACACTTGCTTCTAAAACAATATACATGTACTTGAAATAATTTTATTTTTAAATCTTATCTATGTAATGGAATGTTTTTAATTCACTGATACTGAAAACAGTGGGTGTTACAGATCATAACAGCTGCATAGGTCTACGTAAAGCTTCGAGTTGAACAAATGCTAGGCAAGCACAAGTGTTTATTTGTAAACTGTTTACAACAGAACTTGAAATCTAGCCAACAGTAGGATAGTTACAATGATTTTGAATCCATCATAGCATTACCAAGGAATAGTCCCACCTACCGGCAAACTCTGGTTCCATGTCTCTCTCCTCCATTAGCAGTTCCTCGTCAGTGTAATCTGGCTGAATCTGTGATCTCTTGAGCTTGGCCAGGTGAGCATGGAAGGCCTCTCGGGCCTGGTTAATGGCATCTTCTTCCTCTCCTACAACAACATTCTCAGATCAAAATAGTGTTCATTACAAATTTTTTTCAAAACTTCTCTATTACAGTGCATATATTCCCATGCAGTGCATTTATTCCAAGTTACGAATTCTCTCTAACAGTAACACTTTATTCCTGCATATATGAAGACAATTTTTCATATCAGGTCATTTCATTACTTTAGACTACACTGGACTCCCTGGATTACTAACCATGTTCTAAGGCTGCCTTCAGTGTGGCCTCTGGATGTGTGGATCCATACGGATTCTTAATCAATCTCCGCCTCCGTCTGGAATCGTCCTCCCAAATGTCTAATCGCCAGAAATCAGTGTCACTGAAAAAGTTTATAAACATCACATCAGAATAACCTGATAGACATTCAATATCATAATCTACTATCTTAAAGATGAAAATATTTCCAAGTATATTTTTCCTTAAGTTCCCTCATTGTACTAAAGTTGTTGATTAAGTTGGGCATACAATATATATTTATAAGTTGAAACTTCTAGCTAAACATCACAGTGAAAATTAACATGTGTTTCCCTATTGTGATTTCTCAATAGTATTAATTAATCCCCCTCCCCCTCCAATTTATTTTTGTTTATTATCTATAGTAAGTTAACAGGGGTAATGACTTACTGTTCAGTCTCGGGCTTGCCCCAGGCCCCGTGTTTGTTGGTGAGAATGTTGAGTATTTTGTCTCTGGTTTTAATGGCTACTGTGTGGTCTCGTCGTTTGGCTGCTTTAATGAGATGGTCACACATTTTTTCCTCTTCTTTGCGGTCCAGCATGGTTTGAGCACAAAGGGACTGAAAATAAAATTTTCCATCATGTTTACTTTTTCAGGGAAGAAACAAAATCAATCATCATAGATTCCAAGAATCACAATTAGGCAATCATTTCCAGGTGATATCCTTGTCATACTAAACACACGAGCTCAAGTTTTGTCTCCTTTGCTCCTTTGATATCGTGCTGGTGAAATATTTGTCAATAGGACTTTTTAAAAGAATTTTCTAGCCTACTTCTTTGAACTGGTATATCTTTCATTTCAAGTTGATACTTTAGAAAGTTATCATACAGTAACTTAAATACGGCCAATAATAAGCCTATTTTTTATCATTTCTAGCAATGTGAAAAAAACTTTCAAATGACTCCTTAAAATGTTTCCTAATAAATATTTCTTGATTCTAAATGAGAATTACGGTCCTCCTGTGCGAACAAACAATAATTCTGTTTTCTCAAGGATGCTTTACAGCAAGTCTAGTTGAGTAGAGTGGTCTGGAGTACTGCATAACAATTAAGTTTTTGTTTCAAGCTAAGCAGAAGGGCATAAAGACAGAATGGAGAGCACCTGATGCCTCCACAGCAATAATTAATTAATGTATTCATTTTAAGTACTTGTCATTTAGACAGTTTATGAAAGACAAGAAACTTTTTATTGAAATTTTCAAAGAAGCAATTTGGTTCAGAAAAATGATTTTCTTGGTTCACCATTTTCTCCACATTTATGATTCATATTGAGATAATTAATATTTATTTAATTGTTAGGAAGTAAATGATCCATATGCACAATTACAATGTCCACTGAGGCATTCATTTATTGACCTTGGCAACCCCCGTGCATTTCATCAACATGATGGTAGACATCTGTTCCTTCCCAGAATACCTTGATAATGGCCCTTAATTCACTAATTAATTTTACCTGTATTTAAATACTAAATTCTAATTCACGTCATACCTCAAACTCTGCATGTTTCTGTACGTCTTCTGCCCTCATTCTGTTCAGAATAAACTCGGCTTCATTTGCCACCCTTACAATGTGGTCTCTGGTTGCATGAGCAAGTAACCTACAATTAATATTCAGGTTTTCACTCAAGTCTAATATTTCAGGAACCTTAATAGTTTCCCCATGCTTACTGTAATTGGAATGAAACTCTTTAAGCAAGTTTTCCATCATACACACAGATTTAGTTAATCTTTACCTTCCTTCATTGACAAGTTCTATGAACGCCAGTCCAGCATGCTTCTGTAATGAATTCTGCCATTCCTGGGAACAGAGCAACATGACTAGTTCTACCACTGATGTACTTTGTTTCAAAGTCACCAAACCTAAAAATAATAAATATATATCCAAGGTCAAGTAATATTGTAAATTTAAAGGAAATCCTGTATATAGAAAACTAGAATATATCAAGTTGATGCTTACATATAACAGAGCAATTTCAGCTTTCCATGGTAAATTATTTTACTGTGTAAGAATTTAGAAAATTCCTGAACTTTTGCAAAATACTAGAAGTACATGTATCAAACCCCATATGCACATTTACAACAAAATAATGTGAAATAAAATATTCCAAAGCCATAATTTCCATATACCATTGATAAAATTCATCGTCACAGATTAGTCTGTACTTCAAACAATGTAAACCCACCTCCTATAAGTAGTTCTTGCCCATGAGAGCCAATTAATGTCTTGGACAAGAATGGAGCAAAATCCACAAAGATTTCCCTGAGCAGGGGTGAGACTGACCCCAGGGCTTTCTCCAGCCTCTCCGTGAGGGACCCCGTAGGTTCCCCCACCACAGCAGGCAGGTTGGCCAGAGTGTCGTGAATCTTGTTGGGCATCTGCAGTTTCTCCAGTTTAGGCCTGTCATCCTTGTTAGTGACAGATATGGCATGGATAGGTTTATTGGCTTCAGCTTTCTTGCCCTCATCTTCTTTGTGGTCTCCGTGGACGTCAGCACCAGTCGGTGGTTCTGATGGTGGTTCCTGAGGCAGTTTTTCTTCAGCATGATTTTCTTGAACCTCCCCATTTTCCTTTGGTGTGCTTGGTTTTTCTTCATTTACTTCATCTGTAAGGATAACAGTAATTTGACTTACAACATAAATTAACAACAAATGATGTTGCTCTGTTAATTCCATCATATCAAAGTCACCATTATGTAATAATTAAAACATGAATATTGAATATTTTAATAACTAAAATAAACGGTTATCAAGTTAAAGCTCGGGCACAACTTGAAGCAGTCAAACAGACTGACATACTTGTACATAAACATGTACATAAAAAAATACAGGATATTATGTTTTCTCAAATTTCTCTTCATTTTACTCCTGTATTTTACCTGTTTCCTTTTGTTGTGTTTCCTCCTGTGTTGTTTCCTCTGATGTTCCTGCAGCTTCCTTCTCTTCCTCCTCTTTCTCTTTAGCACCTTCCTCTTCTTGACCCTCAGCTTCCTCCTTTCCTTCCTCTACACCTTCCTCCTTTTCCTCTTTCTCTTCATTGTCCACCTTTTCCTCTGCTTGCTTGGCTTGTTCTTCTTCAACATTATCCTCCTCCTTTGCCTCTTCCTCCTCTGGCTCCTCCTGTTTTGTTTCTTGTTTGGGAGTTTCCTTCCCTGCTTCCTCACTTCCTTCCTCTTCCTCCAGCTGTGCTGAGTCTGCACTTTTGTCAAGGTCTTCACTTCCTGTAGCTGACCTTGTAGCTGAATCCTCATCTAAAATAGCAACAAACCAAGATTAGCAATGACCAATGCTCATCTAGAAATGGTAAGGAAAATTTTGTAAGTCTATTTTAAACTTATTACCTGTTGTGTCTGTAATGTTGATGTCAGCTTTGATCTTCATTTTGGGGGATTCCTCCATGCTTTGGTTGGCTGATGCCTCTTCTCCATCGATTACCTCCCTTGATATGTCTCCATCACTGGTAACGTCTCCACTATCAAACTCCTCATCTGTTCAAGAAATCAAGCTTATTAACAGGTGTACAGAACATGCATAAAGGTCCATGTTTGGAGTAAAACACACTAAGTATTCGTTTGCAACTATTTTAAATATCCTGATAGTTTTTACATTATGAAATAATCACCTGTCACAGGAATATTATCAGTTCATTCCAGAATATACACAAAATTCATACCAAAAGGTTCAATATCACAAATAACAATTATAGAAAGTTTATCTATTGGAACTTTAAGAGAATTCTACTGTTTTATACAGGAAACCATACATCTCAAAGTAATGAGTGGTAAAAACAAGAGAAGAGAGATAACTTTTTCATCATTTTCAAATGAAAAATAAAATGATGCACAGTAATAATGGAAACTCAAATATATGGAGCAAATAAGCTTATACCAAATGAAAATAATATCTAAACCTTGAATAAATGTGAGAGAATAAGGTCATAAACGCAATAGATATACAACAAGACGACATCCATGCTATTCATCAATAATGAGACAGCTATGTGGGGCACACAATAATGAACATCCAGGTAACCTTTCTTCCCCTCGTGAGCCTCATTCTCAACAGACTCGGTCTCGGTATTTGTCTGGGTGAGCGAGTCTGACTCAGTCTCGGTCGTCTGGGTGTTTGGATCTTCCTGAATCTCATCATAAGAACTCCGACTGCCACTCAACATTTCGGCCAGCACACTTCCTCCCCCATCATCTTCTGTTACAATTGCCTCAACCATAGCCTTGTCTAGAGGTTTGTGTTCTGGAGGCAAATCTTCCCCTGAGTCTTCTTCTTCCTCATTTAACCTAGCTCCGTTTGCTTCTTGATCCGACTTGCTCATTTGTAGCCCCAATTTATTTTCTCCATTTTGATTTCCTTCCAAAAGTGGCCTTAGGTTTTGTAAAATGGCTGAAGCTTGTTGAACAAATAAATTTCTCTAGTGTGATTATAAAGCCTTGATTTATCTTACGTTTTCAGAGTTGCAAGACAAAGTAAGACAAATTTTACAATGATTCTATTCTATGTCTGACAATTTAATACAATATCTAGCTGGTGACTGAGCTAATACTATAAGCATCTTACCTGAAGGGGAGTTGATAGACATTCTGTGGGAGGTTGGGGTGGCAGCTGGGCTGGGGGGTTCCAAGATGTCCCTGTACTTAGACACCATCAGCACTGAGGTGAAGTACACAATTGCCAGGGCCAAGAACTGGGCTTGTTTTGTCTCCTCCTGAAAAACAAGTTCATTATTCAATGCAATATAAAAGTAGTTCCGGAAATTGCATACCACTACATCCTGCTGCTCAAACATATGATACATAAATTCATAAAGTACCTTTTTAGCATTTTCCCAAAAAATTGTTAAAATTGAAAAAATAAAGAAATTTTTTAAAATTTTAATTGAATTTAGACTCACCACATCTCTATAGACGACAGCTCTCAGTCTATTAATGTCTGTATCCTGTAACAGCTTATCAAAGTCCTTGATGGGAGAAGCCTGCTCATTCAGATTCTCAACAATATTCTACAATTACACAAAATACAAATTACCAGGTTATAACAACAAATTTAAAAGAAAAATCTCATCAGGACTTATCTATCTGTAATACCAAAATTCAAAGGACATCCCCCATATAAAAAAATTCTATGTTCCTTCGTACCTTTTCTGTTGGGTGTGAGGCCATGATAAGAGCCTGTATGGGGTCCATCCCGTTAAAGCTCCTGGATCCTCTGGTACTACTAGAGGGGGATGCAGTGGGAGTACCGGGAGGGGATCTAAGATGGGATCGGTGACGACATTCCAGGCAGTTCCTCACCGCTGAGGTACATACTGTGACCACAAAAATAACATATTTATTGCATGAAACGAACCTTCACGAAAACTATAATTTCATATATTATCTGGCAAGTTATCCTTCTTTCTTCTTTTGATTGAGTAACTGGGAACTTCCATTTTTAGAAAAGACTAATTCAATGGTTACTATGCTTACATCAATTTGAATACCTTTTATAAGTTTTTTTGATAAAATACTGCAAAAAAGGTAAAATTTACCAATAAAGAATGGTAAAATAATGTAAGTTTAGATTTTACCGAGTCTTAGACACTGCCTCAAGATGCCACCAGCAGGCATGTTCTTTTCTTGTTCCAACTCGGCAAAATTAGTGGAGCTGGCAAATATGAGTACATCAGTCAGATTCATGATCCTCTGAAGGATAGAGACAGCCTGCTCAATACTCAGGCCCTGGGTTGGCTCCAAAATCTCCACCTCTCCCTGTATAACACACAGCTTTTGAGTAAGATCAACTAGATTCATTTCAAATAACAGTTTGGAGATGACGTGTAACTGTATATCATTTCATCATTTTTGATGAACTCAATTTTTTTTCCCCAATTTCTTCTTTACACCAGACCTCAAAATTAGGTACACCGATAAAAAATTGAAAAAAATACTGAGAATACTAATGGTATAATAAGATACAAATTTACCTATCTTTGGCAAGAATAAGAAAACTTGATCCCCACACTGTTACAAATACATCATTTGTAGTACTTACACTTGGTGATGTGGCAGCAGCCAGCAGGGGAAGTAACCCTCCACATGACGTTATCAGGTTGTCAGCCAGCTGGGAAATCATGTGAGTGACATTCACTACATACACATGGTTCTCACTGGCATTTACAAAGTCTATCACTGTCCGAGAACTATGGCTGTATAAAGGAGAAAACAAAACAATCTCAGACTTTCTGTTAAAGTCAATACAAAAACTGGAAGAGTAAAAATAGATACTGTAGCTTGTATGTGCACTTACCTTTTCCAGACTTGTACATCAGTTTCTATAGAGAACAAAAGATCAGACAGAAGTTTTTGGTGTAAAGCTGACCATCTGAATTCTGGGATTCTAAAGGGAGGGGCACGGGGGCCTGTACTGAACATTTTAGTTCCCCCCTCCCTAAATGACTGTGAGCGGGTGGGGTATTTCTTGGTCTCCGCTGGTCGGGGTCTGTCGAGTGATGCAGACCTTCTGACCGTTGGTCGACCCTCGGACGACTCTTGCTCCACCACTTCCTGTTGTGGTGGCTCCCTGGCCTCCGCCTGTGGTTTCTTGGACTCCACCTTCTGGACGACATCATTAATCACGTCCTCCAGGAATTGTTTGACTTCACTGTTTGGATCCCCCTCACTGGGTTCTGCCACTTCACCATTGGTCAGTTTGCCAGCATTGTTCACATTGGAGTCCTCCGTTTCTTCACTCTCCTCTGGTATTTCTGTCACTTTGACGGTACTTTTTGGTACTGGTTTATTGAGGACTCTGTCTGATACACCTGACACTGTACTGACAGGGTGCTGATCTCGTTCTTGGGGGTCAACATCATCAGCTTTCACCTTGACATAATGGTCGTACATCTTGGACATGTGAATTTTGAAATCTTCATAGGCAACCTGAGTATAAAAATATACCATTTAGTAACCTAACTAATGTTACAGTTCACACCTACTCAGTAAAAACAAATTTTGTATTCTTATTTTAAAAATCTACTCAGGTAAATTCTTTCATTTACCTTTGAGTGCAGAATAGCTAAGGTATCAATCCAAACTCTCCATCCCCCAAACTCAAACTTGATAGCGTGATGTAGGAGCATCCTAAACAACGCCATCACCATGTCTGTAATCTTCTGTTCCTCTTCATTACGGGGGTAGATGTACGCTAGAGTGAACAGCCAGTCCTGCCACACTGACATCTGCAGCACAGTCCTACAATACACCAAGTTCATTGAAAATAAAATAATAACTAGGTTAGAGTATATAATAATCTGCGTGTAATTGTTCCTCAGTAAAATGAAAATGCTACACGGAAGATGGTCATAAAAAAAATCATGCCTTCAACTCTCAGAATTTCCTATCAATCATAGAAAATTTGAAATTTATTTTGAAACTGCATAATAGAATAAGATCTTTAACAAAACAATTTGCAATGGTTGACTGAGTGAGAGGTCATTATCATATAAGTGTCACCTTCTGTTATCCCTGTTGTTGTTACACAGTATGGTCAGATCAGACAGGAAGCAGCGTTTGACCTCCATAACTACAGGACTAAGCTTGGACTGCCGGATCATGGTCGCCACCACCTTCAGAATAGCTGTAAAACATAATCAGATCTCAAGTTAAATACCATCACTTGTAATCAGCAATGAACAAAAAGTTTCAGAAAAACATTTTAACATCAGTTGTAAACTTATTATCAGTCAATTCATTACGATTTCCTTGTACCGGTATATTTTTTTTAAAGCATCATTACCAGAATTTTCAATTTTGATGTTTGAATCTGGTTCTGTGTGTTTTTGTGTGCAGGTCTCCAATGTCATTCTTTCTGTCAGAAGCTGAAACATAAAACATATCACTGTACATTTCAATGTAATAAAATTTATTCTTTATTTTTAACACATTCTTACATTAAGAATTTAACAGTAAAACACACATATTATGAAATGCCAGGGACAGCTGATTTATTTTCTTTATAAGCTTAATTCTTAATCCAATACAGCAAGTTCGTAATATGTTTTAAAGCCGTGGGGAATAAAATTACTCTATTGTAGATCACTTAATTTTCGCGACACCTTATTTTCGAGAGATAGTAATTGACTCTTGATTAGCGAGACAAAATTTTCACGAATTGTGGTTATTGCTCTATATAATCTTAAGGAATACTATTATACACAAGAATTAAATTTTTGCGAGCACACTGTCTCACGTAATTACGCGAAAATAAAGTTCTTGCAAATAAAAAGTGATTTACAGTATAATAATTTAAGATATTCTGATGTTTGAAATGCTAAAATTTAACTTAATTAATTATCAGCTGCAATTTAGAGGCTAAAATATGTTACTTGTTTAACCAATACTGTAGCGATCATCATAGCTCTGACTATATCAGCCTAATGAACAGCTAGACACCCAAAGGATTCTCGTAAAAGATCAAAACACCATACAGTAAATAACTGTGTCAACACATGTAGAGAAAAAGGCTTAACTTATTTAACACCAATAAAAAGTAGACAACTATTTTAAATCTTCTCAACGCCACGTCAAGACACCACCTCAATAAACCATAAATGGCTGTACCCGTCAACCCCACACAATCAAAACATATGAAATACGAACTTGCTGAGAATTTAATTCTTCTTGTATGGGCAACAATCTTAAGCTAAATAGATGTTGCACAGTTGGAGAGATTTTAACAGTTATATCAGGTAGCTGGTCATCACAGAGACCCGAGAACCAATTACTTTTCATTTCCATACCTCCCCGCAGGAAGCCCATACCCAATATTTTTACCCATAAGCCACGTACAATGTAAATCTCCGCAAAGTGTATAATGTTACCATATGTTTTTGCTACTGATAATTAAATTAAAGATCAAAGCTGACAAGATTTTATTTTTCTTCTTTGTAATAGTAATCTTTAATTATCAGGATATTTTCATTAATAGCTGTTTTAAGGGTAAAACACACAATATATGATGGAATTAGGACTGTCAAAAGAAAATCGGCCTGATTTGACACGAACAAATGCTTACAAAACTTCCTAAAAATAGAAATTATACACAAGATGATCAGAGCAACATTAGATACATTTTATACACAGTTGACTGAGCTTATGCTATCTGACAAAACAATAACAAAACTAATGTCAAACTCTGCCGAAAAATGTCCACAAAAAAGTTTATTTTAACCCAACTAAGCATGACACCATCTTCACGCTTTAAGGGCTTGAAAATATTTTGAGCGGAAAATCAAGTTTGAAATATAAATTGATCTGTCCTTTGAAAAATGACTAAACTTTGGCACTGCTTTTAATTCATCACACCTCTTCATGCAGTTTATATTTTGTCTAATTTCGCTTATCACTGAATCTGATCAGGGGTTAGTTGTCTCCGATATAAAAGACTCGCGCCTTTGCGTTAAGAGATAGGAACTGGTTGATATCTGGTCTGTCGCGGATCATTGTTCGGTAGATCATCATCTTACAGCTACCACTACCTCTCCCCATCCCAGAAAGCCAAATAAAACATCTACCCGACTCCGATCATACTGGCGTTTGATGCCGAAGTAAGAGCATCTCGGATTACAATGTGTTAAAAAAACAAGGCATTTATCGCTCTCTCACAAACAATACTGGCTACTTCATAACTTGCATTTGAATATTACATCAAATTCTCCTTTTTTGAGGTTCATAAGATATGACCATCATTACTGATGTGGTATAGATAATTCAATGAGAGATTATATCAGTGAGGGATCCTTTTCTTATTATGATGCATGCGATGGTCTTCATTTGTCCAAAACGCATTGCCTTGTGTCCTCATAGTTAGGTGGAAAACTCGGTGAAGCCAAAAAAAACATTGTCAACAAGTTTTGTCTCATATTTGTAACATCAGAAAGAAAATTGTCCCCCGCCTGGTGGTTTAATTCTTAGACAAAATTATTGTTAAAATTCAGCCATAGACTATAATAAGATCAGTGGATAATTTGAGATTCTTTACACATGGAGTATCTATTGAAATGGCTAATGTCTGGGTTTTTAATACAAGCATGTACAAATGTTTTAGAACAAAGAATCAGGAAGACTTACATGCACATGAATAAAAAGCAAAAAAAAAATTATGAATTTTTATAAAGTAGAAAAGGGGGCAGGGATCAGGGGCTGGGGGAAGGGGGGGGGGGTCTAGAGAGAGAGAAAAATTGAATGACTGAGATTTATACATTTTATTTTGACTACAGTAAATTAAGATGAAGAATATATATAACAAAAGATTTCTTTCTACTAGGCTGTCAAAAAGAGTCATGAAGCATAAAATATTTATCACAATACCACCTACACTATGATTCTTCAACAAATAATCTAGCAATGAGCGTATACAGTTTTGATATCTTTTTTTGGACTTTTTCTTTTACAAAGAGAGAACAGATATTGGGTGCAGACTGTAATATGCCACCTCCCTGATCTAATTACATTTCCATTGAGCGGCAGCTCCGATCAGCCTTGCCTCATGGATAATTTGTACCTACTGCAACGGAGTCTCCCAAATCGATGATCAAAATGAAAAGAGATGATGCTCTAAATATGCTTTCTTTTCCCGAGCTGTCAATTTTTTTCTAAATTAAATAAGGATAATGCAAACAGGGTAACTAGCAGTGTGATTCAGGGTCAGCCCAGTTCACCTCAGTTCTGGTCCAGTGCCGTAATTTGTTCATTAACTGCAGGATCACATTTGGAATATCAAGCATTCGGTGGGACTGACTAGAATTGTGAAAACGCTTTAGAAAACATTTTTAGATCTGTCTCAATGCTTAACTAAGTGGCTACTAAAGAACTAGTCTTGTCGAGCAGGAAATGCGGCCCTGATATTTCAATCAAAACATTTCAGGATTTTCAATTAAGTAAGCTATGATACACCAGCAACAAACAAATAACTTTTCATTCATTACTGGGGGCATGCATGTAACTATTTTAATGGGCATGTAAAAAAACTCCCAGTCAGACAAATTCTTTTCATACTGACAAGAAAGATTTTCAGATATAACCTCAGTTTAAAAGAAAAGTTTAAATAATATTGACGTAATTTCACTTATATACTGCATTTTTCACCTGTATGAAAGGATTTTGAACAAGATGTATTTACTGATAAATTTTTCGGTAATGCCATTTTGAAAAGATGTGATGTAATTTACGGTTTTAATATCGTGTGATCTAACTTCCATTCTCTGTTTATCTTGGCCACTTCAAGTAAAGTTGTGTGTTTGCGCTCTTGTTAAGTTGACATGTGCAACATCTTAAAATGGCTCTGCCAAATGCACTTAATTTGAATTTATCAGGCCTTGGGTGTATTGACAATTGCCTATCATTTATCAAGACATAATTGATTAATTTTGCTAGTTTACCACAAACTGAAATCTTTTGCTAACAAAGTCAGAAAAACCTCAAAAAAGGCATGATGGAGTTAATGTTCAACCAAACATGAACGATATCAAAATACTTTCTCAGGTCTGTTATGCCATAAATTATTCAAGGATTCAATTAAGATGGGAGCTCCTTTATCATATTTTACAAGTATACATTATTATTATTTCCAATCTAAGAGAATTTATTTTTCTTAATTTACTCTCACCACTATATATATCAAAATGATGAATTCCTTTTTCAAAAGCATGAATTTATAAAAAAGAAAAGCTAGCATCAAAACTGTACTTAACAGATGTTATGCATATTTTTCTTGAAAGCATAAAGCTTCAAATATATAATGGAAAAATTATTAAAATATTGTATTCATATTAATGATGAATTCAAAATTAATTTGATACTTGTTGATGAGGCAACCTTTTGCGTAATGTTTAAATATCTTTTTAATTCCAAAATACAGAATTTCCTATTTTTGTTCATTCTTGAAAATTTACACCATTGTTTAAATGGAAGTTCATGTGTTTTTAGATAAATGATTTTTTAATGACAGTGCACCCAAGTTATATTCGCATCCCCTTCAAAATAATAGGAGCAAAATTCGCCATGTACATGTGGAAAATTTCAGCTTTAGAAATGAAAAACGATACGTGCCTTTCCCCGTCAATTGAAATTGACCATATGACTTTGTGTCAACAATATATGTAAATTCAATAGAATCAATTTGAATAAAATATGACACCTGAGCATCATGCAACAACTTTACAATGATAGACTCTGGTTCATGTTTTAAACTAGACGTCATGGCATTCACAATTTTGAAAGAGGCACCATTGCTAATCATAACTATACACTTAGCATGTTTAGTTTGGTTACTTAATACCCATAGACAGAGTAGGGGAACAAAAAAATGCATTTCGACTAATCAGTAATATTCAGCAATAATCAGTATAGTGCCACTACCACATATGAACGCCTGACCCTTGGTCCACACATTTCACAATTTTGAAAAGGCACCCTTGCTTATCAAAAATGTTTGACTTTTACCAAGGAGCAGATTTCAACCACTTAATTCATTTTCAGTATATAAGTAGAGCCCCCCCCCCCCCCCCCCCCCCCCCCCCCCCCCGGATGAAAACAGATAGCAATACACCTGAGTTTACTCAGGTGACCTAAAAACAAAGACTGGAGTGCCTCAAATTTTGTCTTCTTATTATGCAAGGACAAAAAAAAAATACCACAGTTTTTATTACATAAAAAGTCATTTATGTTGAAATTCAATTACATATATATTCAAAGATCCTCTTACCTTCTCCAGCAGATACCCTATGACCAGGAAGCCGCTGATTCTGCATCATCTGTTGTTGTATGGTGACAGAGCTCTCCATCAAACTGCTGACAATGTGCATCAACTTTGAACTGAAAGATTAGGCAAAGTGAAATATATAGAAAAACTTGTTGAGGAAAAGTTCTGGGGAAACATTTACAATGCATTGTTAAGAATTTTGCTGGGGATTCAAAAAAATCACTATATATCAGAAAATTCCATAGTTCATATAAAATGAGTATCACTGTACACATTGTAAGCAATCTTTGAATTTCTAAAATACTCAAAATGTTTTTCTACTGATATATTTTTTTAAATGTGTTAATGTGTTTCTTTTTACCAAATAGTGTAATCCACTTCACTAGATGAGTTCTCTCCCTTTCTAACTGGCATGTCTAATTGACCAAACAATGGAAACACAACCTAAACATAGAAAAAACATGGGTAATCAAAGATTACGAAGCTCACCTCGACGAATGTTATCAGTGTAAGTAATGCAAATCTCACATCATATTTTCTTAATATCTAGTATTTATCCCAACAACAATATTCTTGCAAGTTGTGTTTAACCTCTTACAGCGCATATACACATTTCTACTCATGTAGCGTGAAAAACATGTATAGTGTAAACAAATATTCATCAATTTGTTAATACTGCAGATATCAAGGTTCAAGTTCATTGGGATTAATCTGTTCCCAAAACTTTAACCTGGTCTCTTGTATGGAAAATATAGGTCAGATCGAGCATCTGAAGCAAGTCTGGTAGTGTCCATCCCTAGATGCATCATCCATGCAAGTTTGGTTCGGGTAGGTCTTATAATTCCTTGGGAAAATATAGGTCAGATTCAGCATCCGAAGCAAGTCTGGTAGTGGCTATCCCTAGATGCATCATCCATGCAAGTTTGGTTCAGGTAGGGCTTATAGTTACTTAAGAAATTAAAATATACGTCAGATCCAGCATCTGAAGCAAGTCTGGTAGTGTCTATCCCTAGATGCATCATCCATGCATGTTTGGTTAAGGCAGGGTTTATAGTTACTTGGGAATGAAAATATAGGTCAGATCCAGCATCCGAAGCAAGTCTGGTAGTGTCCATCCCTAAATGCATCATCTATGCAAGTTTGGTTCAGGTAGGGCTTATACATGTAGTTACTTGAGAATGAAAATGTAGGTCAGATCCAGCATCCGAAGCAAGTCTTGTAGTGTCCATCCCTAGATGCATCATCTATGCAAATTTGGTTCAGGTAAGTCTTATAGTTATTTGGGAATGCATCCGAAGCAAGTCTGGTAGTGTCCATCCTAGATGCATCATCCCTACAAGTTTGGTTCAGGTAGGTCTTATAGTTACTTGGGAATGAAAATGTAGGTCAGATCCAGCATCCGAAGCAAGTCTGGTAGTGTCCATCCCTAGATGCATCATCCCTACAAGTTTGGTTCAGGTAGGTCTTATAGTTACTTGGAAATGAAAATGTACGTCAGATCCAGCATCCGAAGCAAGTCGGGTAGTGTCCATCACTAGATGCATCATCTATGCATGTTTGGTCTGGGTAGGGCTTATAGTTCCTTGGGAATGGACCTACTCCAAAAACTTTAACCTGGTCACTCATCTGGAAAATGTAGGTCAGATCCATCATCTGAAGCAAGTCTGGTAGTGTCCATCCCTAGATGCATCATCCATGCAAGTTTGGTCTGGGTAGGGCTTATAGTTCCTTGGGAATGGACCTACTCCAAAAACTTTAACCTGGTCACTCATCTGGAAAATGTAGGTCAGATCCAGCATCCGAAGCAAGTCTGGTAGTGTCCATCCCTAGATGAATCATCCATGCAAGTTTGGTTCAGGTAGGGCTTATAGTTACTTGGGAATGGACCTGCTCCAAAAACTTTATCCTGGTCACTCATCCTGGGAATGGACCTGCTCCAAAAACTTTAACCTGGTCACTCATCTGGAAAATGTAGGTCAGATCCAGCATCTGAAGCAAGTCTGGTAGTGTCCATCCCTAGATGCATCATCCATGCAAGTTTGGTCTGGGTAGGGCTTATAGTTCCTTGGGAATGGACCTACTCCAAAAACTTTAACCTGGTCACTCATCTGGAAAATGTAGGTCAGATCCAGCATCTGAAGCAAGTCTGGTAGTGTCCATCCCTAGATGCATCATCCATGCAAGTTTGGTCAGGGTAGGGCTTATTGTTACTTGGGAATGGACCTGCTCCAAAAACTTTAACCTGGTCACTCATCTAGAAAATGTAGGTCAGATCCAGCATCCGAAGCAAGTCTGGTAGTGTCCATCCCTAGATGCATCATCCATGCAACTTTCGTTCAGGTAGGGTTTATAGTTACTTAGGAATGGACTTGCTCCTAAAACTTCAACCTGGGACGCCGACGCCAACACCAACGCCGGGGGTATAGCATAAGCTCATCTCGACTTCGTCGAGGTGAGCTAAAAATGATTCCCGGCTGCATTTTGAATGTTAATTCACCTCTTTGATTAGAAAACAATAATTCCATACATATGACTACAAACCTGGATTCCTCCAAGTGAATGAAGAGTACTGTAGATGGAATGTGTTATCACAGCCTTTACATCCTGTTAAAGACACAGTAAAATTGAAATTATCAAAAATAGATTGAAATCTTTAAATTCTTGAAGACACATAGCCATTCTTGGCAATATGATTCCTTACCCCAGACATGAGAGCATGCTGAACATGGACAAAGTAGGAGACATTTCCTTTTGGTGCTGATTCCAGACACAGCTGACCGTCACATGCTATAGGGTTATACATGAATACGATCAACGATGTCAACTTCCCATCATACAGCAGCTAAAACAGAAAGGGGTTTTTAAACAATAATGAATGAAGAATAGTTTAATTTACAAATTATTACATGTATTTCTGAAAAGTGTTTTGAAAACAAACTTACTCTTTTGTTGACCACAACAGTTCCCAAACCGCTTTCATTTTCAAATCGAAACTGGCTCTAAAAATTGTAGATTTGATATGAATATTAAGTTGACAGATAAAACTAGCATTCTGTGAAAAAAAGAATGCAATTGAAACTGAGGAAGGCTTGAGCACCGGGTATGTTCAGGGCTAGAAAATATTACCTTGTAACTTGGTCCTAGATAAAATATGGCTGATATTTGTTGAGGTGTGAGGGCCTCACTGAATAGATAAACAGTGGACATCTGACCACAGAACATGTGATCTGTCTCTCCTTCAGAACTGGCTCCCAGAACACATTTGTCAAAAGGCTGTATAGAAATATAAATACAAGTACTTAATAGCATGTTTAGTGAAATACTATACTCTTTTTGATCATTTACACTAAATTATATACCATGGTTTTCTTTTAACTGTAAATTCTCATTTTTATTTTGTTTAGGATGAGAGAGTACTCAGCTGCCAGCATTTACCAAAATAACTCATATACATCAATCTCTATCAACTTTTCATACAAGCAGTATTCCAATAAGATATGGATAAAATATGCAGTCAATAAACATTTAAACCCATTGCATGATTCATTAGCTACAAATAAACTGCTTCATGGTTGGCTTATTCTTACATCACTGGTGCTGACGAGCCAGGAAATGTCTGTGCTGGACACGATTTCTCCGTTAACGTAACATCGCAGCTCTGATTTACTCCATCGATTGTATACATGTACCACCGTCACCATGTACCACTGAAATATACAATTCAGTCTGTAACTCTTTTGATATACATGTAAATGATTCAATATTACGAACTGGCATCCTTAAAATTTTTTGCTAGCCAAAATTATTAGGGCAGTGTTGGTAGATTATGAGACCAACCACTAACTGATTCAATCCTGTGACTTTTTTATTTCTAGTGTACCCATTACGTCTTTTAACAAGATTGCTCATATCAATACAAGAGTACATGTACTTTAAAAATTGTTGTCTGGATCACATGAAAAGCATGAGTGAACAATATTTTCATTTTTAAAAGAGCAATAAATTTCATCTCCCTATCTTATTTTATTTACTTTTCTGGGCTGGAAGTCATATTTGACACAGTGCTGGAAACCTTTGCCTTTGATCTTCATGGTTGTGATGACCAGGGAATTTCCAAGGAAATGGGCAGAATATCCAACCCCTTTGTTGGTTTTAAAACTACAAAGAATTATAAATTTCCTGTGTAAATTTTAATATTCACACCATTAACATTTTTATTCTGACTATAACAGACATCACTGAAACCATTACCAATTTTTTAAAGTTTTCATACATATATTTTTGCAGCTAAATCAAACAAAATCTTTACAATATGCATGTACAGTATGATTTACTGATCACTATCCACAAAACTTCATTAAGCTGAACTATACTTACCAGTATAGATAGGGTTTTTCTCTCTCCACTGTGACCCCAGTAACTGGGTCTAGTCGTAACCAGCATGTAAATGTCCAGCCATTCTGGTATGGCCAGGTTTTTATTGGAGGAAGGGCAATAAACTAAAATTGAAACAATTTCAATTTAATGACTTCACCATAATAGAGATAAGTAATTAACGACGACATATATTGATCTTTGTTTTTCTACATGCAAAATATAAACTCATGAAAGTTCCAATCTTTGTAAAATAGCAGCTTTAACCAACCTCAGCTACACAAGAAAAGACAAAAATAAGTTTGTACATACTGATCCCTTTTTCCCTGGGAAGCTGAAGAACTCATCAGGACCTTCCCTCTGTGGCATCACTTGTAGGACCGACAATAACTTCACGGCATGTCTTTGCTATACATAAAATAAATAATCCTTTGTTACTTGTAAAAAGCATATCATCAAAATGATGGTATAATTTTGTTATTATCTATGTCTATCATATTTAGTGAATAGATTCCATTACAACAGAAACATCTCATTAAGATTATAGCATGTCTCCAAATGGTGATTCTCAACTTCATAATACGAGCCAAAATATCACATATGAAAGATACATTAATGCATTGTACACATGCAGATAAAAATAAAACCAAGGGCCCAAAACAGAAATTCTCTGAGCCATTTACTTACCCACTCCCCTTCTGAGGCCTCCAGGATGGAGAACAACATTTTCAGTTCTCGGACCGTGATGCTGTAACTGGCCAGTGTAGACAGCATGTCCACCAGAAGATCTATGAAGGTCAAAACAGATACTATTACATGTATCTCATATTCTTTTGATAAAACATTTAGGAGGTACCAGTATTTGGCATATATTTGTTATAAGCGTGTTTTACAGTATTTATCCGATACCTGCTATGACATCGTCCACATCCTTCATCAGATTAAGAGCATGTTCTATCAGCCCCACCTCTGTACACGCTTGTAAGTTCCGACGACTCTTCTTTAACATCGCAGTAAAAACACTCCATATTTCAGCCTGCAAAATATAATTACTCGTAAATTGTTACTTAAATATAAAAAAATTTTATCCAAAACTACTCAAAAGTATTCTACACTTGTTTACCTATACAGACCTTTTATATACCTAATAATGATTGACTATCTGAAGTTTAACATCCTTGCAAGATTTTTTCATCCAATAAAGTGGGAATGCTATTGAAGGGCTTAAAGGACAAGGTAGGGTAATGGCCGAATCTGGCCCCTTACTTGATATAAAAATCAGTTCTAGTACTAGTACATCTACAAATGTACTAGTACATCTACAAATCTGAGTCATTTCTTCCTCTTTTTCTGAATCAGGACACCTGTCTAAAGGTATTATTTTTTGCTGCTATTAGAATAAGTAAATAATGATCTTATAAATAATTCACATAAAATTGCCTGCTGGCATTTCTTATAAAAGGCATTTCTTATAAAGTATATACGATATGCACTACATTCTGTGTGTAAAGAGTACACAAATAATCAATGCCTACAACTGCACAATATGTAAACAAGTTCTTTAAGCCATTATTCTGATGATATGGTGCCCTCTGGGTTTTCCACACAAAGATAAACAAGGAGACAATACCAACATTGCATTATAACGATACATTCTGTTAGATCACACTGTGTACCTGTAGTGTTACAGTACAACTGGAGAAGACGCGTAACATATGAAGAATATTCTGTGGCTCCTGGATGATGAAGTTTGTCTCAATGTCAAACTCTCCTCCCACCAGCTGAAAAAGAAGCAATTGAAAATGTTTGTTCATTCAAATATAACATACTGATAGTAAACAATGTTTAATATTTCATGTAACACATTCTTATTACTATGTATTTCAATGATTCAGATAAAAACTGCTAATTCAATCTAATTCACTGGTAAAAATAATTTAATGCAATTAATTAAAATATCATATCCATCATCACAAACTACAGCAAAAATGTAGGATCCTCCCCCCATTCTGAAGAGAGAGTTACATGAAGACTCCAGATTGTGGCTTGAGATGATGCATAATATCATGAGTAAAGAGGGACTGACAAAAATATTAGAGAAATCAAAAAAGAAATATGGATTCCTATTTTAACTTTGACCAAAGATTGTCATACATGTATCCATATTTGTCATTTCTATTTCAAAATCATAGATGAATAAAAATTAAATGCATAATTAACAAATTAAAATGGTGATAAAAAAGCCATGTCCTTTAATCACCCTTTTTTTAAATTGAAATCAAAGATATTTGATTTCTTTTTTAGATCAAGGCACAATCAATGAGCATCTCAGCTAGAAAAAAATGTCTTTATACAACATTTTATTGAATTCAAATAAACATAACCTATAAAACTCATCCATCTGCAAAAAGACAATCTAACATACACTGGACTGGGAAAAGATCAATTTTTGCAATAATCTAGTAACTTTTTTCTTTTACATGTTCAAGGAGAAAACTGCTGAGATAAAATATTTAAAGTAAAATGACTATAAGTCCTTATTTTGAAGAACGATCGAGAACTGTCTCATCAAGGACACTTGTCCTAAGACAGAGGTAGCTGCTCTAATTTATTTTCCTCCTCATTTCCTTTAATTTAATAAAATTCAACTTCAAGACGGCGCAATTACTGGGCGGCAAATCAATGGCTGTTACCAAAGACTTGGATAATTCAATATAATTGGTCTAAAATTTTGTTCATTATGGACAGAATAATTCAGTTTCTTCCAGTTTAATTTCCAAATCAATCATCCATACACCATCAAGGAGACACTGTTAATTCATGATGAAATTGTCAGCTTATGGTGAAGGATTTCACTCCATTGTTATGGAGACTGCTCTACACAAGAGCTGTACCAGACTTTGGTCATTGTGGGGTTTTATAGGGATAGGGATGAATTCCTGAGGCACTAACTAAAGTCTGATGCTTTTATATCTGAATGATGCTACAGACACCTTCTCTCAGACAGATCATTACCAGATATTCCCTAACTAGCTTTACAAAACTCCCAGGCATGGCTTTTTCTTTAACCAAATTATAAACTAATTTTCAAAAGCTTTTCCCTGGGACCCAGTGGGATTATAAATTGCTATCTTTTCACATTTTCCGACTGCTCTAAAATTGTAATTCATTCACTGATATTCAGGAAACATAAGCCAGATAAACAGAAAAAATTAGCACAATCCTAAGTTCATTTCCTGGTTATCAATACTCTGGTAATCTTGTTCTACTTACTATAAATAAAGCTTAATGACAAAAAGGCATACAATCTTTTATACTTAAATTTACTTGTATTCTGTAGTATTCATAGTATGATGTTCTTGTAAAATCAGTATCTAAAATGTTTCTTTAAAAAATGTACATTTTTGTTGCAAGTACAGCTTAGAATGCCTTTTACTGCATCATGCACGTACTAGTAGATGTGCACAAATATAGATAAAGCAAACTAGATGCTGTCATGAGACAGTAATACCCGCACTAAGGTGTTTGCCTCTAAATGCACACTTCTTCATATTGGGCTTTACCAAGGAAAAAGTCAATATAATTCAATAATTTACATAATACATGTATTCTTCAAATTGAGCATAATATGCTCAGGTGACCATGTAGCGTTATGGTTTTATATATTTGTCTTTGACCATAACGCTACAGATCCCCATATGCAAAAAATGTGCAATTTACGGCGCAATATTTTTTGTGCACTTTTGGGCAGAATTTCTCCACTATCTAGCATTGGTCAATCAACTACCTTTCATTCCCTAATTTTAGACACATTCTGTAGTCAAAATGTATATTTTGTCCACTTCTCAGCCATTTATAGTCATCTCTACAGGCAATAAACTCGCTTGATGTGAATTTTCCGCAATCTAACAAATAATTTCAATCAAGCGAGTTGATCACGTGTAGAGACGACTATAAAAGGATTGGAGATGGATAAAATATACAGATTAGGGGGGGGGGGGGTTATTAATTTTTGGCACATCAGGCGCGGACCCAGGATTTGAAGTTAGTGGGGGCGCCAAAAATAGGCAAGGGGTCTGGGGGCCGCCTTGAGGCCCCCAGTGGGTCCAGGGCAAAGCCCTGGTGGGGGACCAGGGGGCGAAGCCCCGGAAGCTCCTGGATTCTAGAGATTTTGTAGGGTTAAAATGAGGTCTACCAAGTAAACATATATACAATTTTTAGACGAAACTGTGATTTACGTTAACTTTGACAATTTTAGGGGGGGGGGGCGCGCCGGGTGCGCCCCCCCCCCTTTAATCCTCCGCCACTGCACATAATTGGAACTTTTGAAATCTATTTTCTCATATAGCAGCTGTATAGATTAACAACAAATAATATAATTCAAATTAGTGTAAAGCGTTTTTGATGAATTTTTCAAAATGTGAAAATTTTATTTATATTAAAAGCTGCCATATATACACAATCAATTTAGTCAACCCCCACCCCTCTTCCATCAACACACACACACAAACACACCTTATTTGCCTGTTTTTGGAAATAGGCCTAGATGGCAAAGTTAAAATAAAACATCTTTTGTAAATGATAATTTTCAATTTGTTCTTGCACTATACATGTATCTGAACACCTGCATCACATTGGGCTTGCGTCACGTACCCAACTTAAGTACTAGTTTTACCATTGGCATTATCATTTTAGATTTCACTGCACGTGCAGTAGGCTACTAGTGTGCATCATTGCATATATGTCAGAAGGAATTATTTCATTTTGTGTTTTAACTGGATTATTTTTCATGAAGATGACAGTGCCTAAACAATGACAATCGGTAAGTACAAGTTTTGGTATAGATTTGGGTAAAATAGTATGAAATGCAAACGGTTAGGTTCAAGTTTAAAGGATCAAAGGTCATCCAATGCTATAATAGACGAATTTCACATTCTGAAGAGTTATCCCCCGTTATCAACGTTACATTCAGTTACAAGATCCAGAATTTTTTTTTCTGGGAGGGAGGGAGGGAGGGGGGGGGTCCAGACCAGAATTTCCTGAAAAGCAAAAAAGAAAAAAAAAGAAGTTATGGTTGGGTCTGTTTTCTAGGGTTGAGGGACACTTATGGCATCCAAAGTCATTTTTATTTCCTCCAGTTTATATTTTAGTCCTGCAAATTCCGGGGGGCGGGGGTGGGGGTCGGTGGGTGGGTTGAGGGGGCGATCTCCCAATCCACTTCCCTGTCCCTGTAATGACAAATGATCATGTGACTCCTAAATAGTAGGAACCTTTTTCCATTTGACTATATATAATTTTGTTTCTTGTGTTATTATATTATGTAAATTTAATGGTATAAATGTTATGGACCCCTAGAGGTCATCCCCACTGTCCTAATGAGCTGAAATGTTCACAATATGACTGCATTAAATTAAATAAAAGTGCATCAATGATAAGATTACTTGACATTTTATTCATGAATTTGTGTTAACCTATCTTCCTAGAATTAGGAATGAAACTCATTCAGAGATGGACCACATTAAACAATTTGTATAAACATTTTTTTTAAATGTAAAAACAAGTAGTAGTTTGCATACATGAACAAACAGGGGTCTGGGAAGGGGTGAGGGGAAGGATTGAGTTAATATTTCTTTATGCCTTAATGGTTGAAAACTCCTAAAATGAATGTTGACCTCAAATCTAATTTGTCCTCATTATTTTTCAAGTGGTGGTGTCTCCATATGATTGAAAAATTCCTGAGTGGGATGTTTAACAACAAACAAAGTGACATAAAAACACAATATTGATTTGCGTTAAGAAATATGCAGGGGATTTTTCCCATCATAAATCTTCTCAAGAACAGCAAGGGCATTATTGTCCCCCATTTTGGGGAAAGGGAGGGGACATTAAATCTCATTTGTCTGTCAGTCTGTCCATCTTATTGACAGCTAGTATGTGCATCTGTCACAATAAATTTAACCTTGGTCATAACTTTCGAATAATAAGAGATAGTGCTTTCATATTTCACATGTACATTACCACAAAACTTTCTAAATATACTATGATTTTTTAACCCAAGTGAGACCTTGGCCTTTAAGTTTTACCTACTTTCCAAAAAATAACATTTTTAATTGATCATTTTGAAAGAGAAAAGAAAGGGCATTCAAATTATACATGTTTATTACATGTGAAAAGACTTTTCTAAATATATCATGGCTTTTGACTCTGTGACCTTGACCAGAAGTTTAACCTACTTTTCAAAAATATTATATTGTATTTATAACTTTTGATTCAAAAGAGACTTTCATATTTGACATGTACATTACCTCAGGGTTCGAAATTAACTCATGTCCGTAAGTCCGAGACTAGTAAAAATTGTGTCAGACTAGCAGATTTTGTAAGGTACTAGTCCGTACAAGTGCAAATCCAGATTTAAGTCTTGAATTGGTTCGTATTTTATTTCCGAGTCTCTTAGATGTTTGAAAAACCACGATAAAGCGTTTTCTACATTGTGATCAATAGACAGATGAGATTTCTGAAAGTTGAAAACCCTCTTTCTTTCACCACATGCTTCCAACTGATGTGTGGACATATATTTTGTTTAATTAATTGATAAAATTTTAAGATTTGTGTTATTCTTTTTACATACTATAGGGCGGACTAGTGGAATAGTTTGCGGACTAGTGGAAGCTAGAAGTCACTAGTCCGTGCGGACTAGTGCTAAAAAAAGTTAATTTCGAACCCTGTTACCTGCAACAAAATGTTTCAGAGCATGCTATGATTTTTCCCCTTTGACCAAATT